TCTACTTCATTTGATAGTCTGTTTTCTACCAACCAGTGTCTGGTATACAAGATGTATATACACTCAGAATTGAAGAATTCTGACCCTAGGAATTTGTTTTGAGTACAAGAAGTGAATGGATGTTGCAGTCCATATACCTGTGCATACATGCACGTGCACATGTATTTCAGCAGTATAATTTAGGGTGTATTTGTGTGGAAAGTAATTTTGTTGCTGCTTTTGTTAAACCGTTGGGATTTACTGCAAATCACCCACTCATCTGCCAGTTAATTCTGCCTATCTTTTTTCCAGAATAAACCCAGTGCCCTTTTGCAGTGGTTTGTTGTAATGCAAAAACATATTAGTAGATTGTGTCTTCAGAGGAAGCTTGTTTGACTGCACAGATATTCTTGATGAGCTTCCCAGGAGCACAGTTTGAAAACCACTAGGCTGAAGCTATTCTCTGGAAACATAATTGGTTAGAGTACATGAAACCAAAAGTTTGAGATACTTCAACAAAAAAACCCCCAACTTCCTCATTAAATGTAGATTGTAAATGCTGTTAGAAAAAAAATGAGACATTAAGGAGCCAAAAGGCATCCTTGCAGCTCACATGACACTGATTTCATGGGCTAACTCCCATTTGCCTTGTTTGTAAATTGAGGTTTGGTTTGTTTGCTTTAAAGATAATCATGGCATAAGTGCAGTGTGACCTGTAAATGTGAAAAAAATAAAGATTTTGGAAGTGCAATGAAAACAGCAAAGTAACTGTGGTCTTCAACTCATCTTATGTCTGGGACAGTCTTTAGATTCAGGGCAAAGTCCCCACTTCAGTCAAGACTGCAGGGAAGAAGAGCCCAGTTTCAGTGCTCGGCTGCTTCCACATGAGCATTTATTGTGGAACTGCAGTGGCTTTTTCACTCACATTTTGCGGGAAATCCACATGGTCTTATCATCCATTCGTAGCCTTCCCTTGTTTTCCTGGTATACAGCATTGCATTGGAGAGGCATATCAGTGTAGCAGCCTTTCATTTAAATGGCATTTCATTATTAGAACATTTTTAAAAAGAAAATATAACTTGGGTGCACTACTTAAAAGCTGAATTAAAAATAAACATGTATTTAAAATGACATCTATTTGAATGGTTGTATTTATTCATTTATTATATTTCTAAATTGCCTAGTAGCCGAAGTTCTCTGAGCAGTTTGCAAAGCAATAATTAAAACCAAGAAATATAACAGCAAAGTACAACATACTATAAAAACCTTAAGTTTAAAACTGAATAAAATGTGTATCGTAAATGTGTGCTGTAAATTTAGTCTGATAAACTGCTGTGTTATGAGCACCACAGCCTTAAATAAAATGTAAGTGCTAAGGACATTGGTATGGATGGGTTATACACAGAAAATACACAGTATCCATCCAGTAGTGTAAAAAGTCTGTCATAATTCTGTTTGTAGCTTCTGGTGGAAGAGCAATAGATTCTGTTAGGAAGACCCCAAGTCTTCTGGAGGGTAGGAGCAACAAAGAAAAATGTCTTTTATGGCCCAAAACCACAAGACTAATCAAGGTAGAGCTGCCACACTTCCAAAATTGTGACTGTTCAAAATTTGTTGGATTCCTGGATTATTGCTAAACTTTTGAAGAACTGGGTGGGTTTTGGAAATCTGCTGTGTCTCATTTTGGCACTAAAAGTAGCACTAACTTATTTGTTATACCTGCAGCATTCCAACAGTCTCCTTGAATATTTGAAGATAAAAAGGAGATTAGGGAGAACAAAACAGTGTGATTGAAAGTGTTGCCTAGCACACACACTTGGACTTGTTTGGTTTCCCTCACCCTCCATTTACTAGGTATTGATTGATTGATTGATTGATTGATTACATTTGTATGCTTCCCCATAGCCCAAGGGCTCTCTGGGCAGCTTGCATAGTGTACATAGCACAGCAGCTAACATGAAAAAAAGAATAAATAAAACAATGACAGCTAAATAAAGCTAAAAACCACATAAAATCATACTAATAGAAAGTGCAAAAACGAGGATAAACAGTAGTATAAGCAACAATCAAACCAGCAGTGAAAAACCAAATAGAAGTATAATTTTAAAAGTTCATAGTTTGCCAGGAACTCTGTGTAATGGCAGGTAAAGGTCTTTCCCAGCACTGCTAATACCAGCTTCTCTTTTCTGGGTTCCTTTTTATTGCCTGATAGCATCAAGCTAGGCTGGGAAGGTTTGCTTTCTTTTTTATGAAAACCTTCCAGTCCTCAAGTAGTGATATAGCACAATGCAGCCGCTCTGCTTCTGAGTAATACTTTTGCTGAGACTGTTCGCTAGAAGATTGCAGAGGAAGGGAATCATCATGTCAGGTCTCTTCAGCCAAAAGCTCATGTGTACAGAACTGCTCCAGATGGTGAGTGGAGGAGTCTTGAGCTGTATTTCTTTGGCACTGCCTTAGTGTGGGCACAAATTACAGGTGTTGCAGCTGCATAAGGCGCTTCCTGATAGCAGACGTGGGGGCGGGAGGGTGGCGGGTGCTGCCTGGCTCTTTCTGAAAGGAGCAGTCTGAAAAGATGTTTCATCCCAGGGGTCATAAGGCAGAAGGCTAATTACTTGGATAAAAGTGGCATGACTCAGTTTTAGCAAAGAGCAGAGAACATTTTTTGTATGTCTGGTGAAGGTAGAATCTTGCAGAGTCAGAATCAGGCTGGCCGTTCTTGGTTTTAGCATACTGATCTTATTTACTCTGCACCTCTTGACTGACTGGGTGGTAACAGCTTTGCTTGCTAGCTGGCTTTAAAAGCAATAGTTATCAAGAAGTAAGGATAAGAACCCAGGAGCTAGGTGTTGTGCATGCTGATCAGGTTACTGCATTTAAATGAAAGGACAGGAGGGAAAAGATGTTTCCCCCCATAATAAAGTTTTCTATTGCTGTTTCCAATAGTAAGATACTTAAATAAAAGTGGGGTCATTAAGATATAAACCTGTGATCTCTGGAAAACATTCTGTAGCCTCATCTTTTTCTAAAAACCCTCATGAGACAGTTTAAGTGCATCTCACAAATGGGGTCTCTCTCTCTCTCTCTCTCTCTCTCTCTCTCTCTCTCTCTCTCTCTCATATAGATACAGAATGAGAATGTATCTATGAACAAGCAAATTGACACATTCAGGGTTTTGAATATCAGGGTTAGGATGAGTACGGCAAGGGATCTGTCCCTATACACGGTCTGTTGCCAAGACAGACTTCTGCCATTCAAGAGGCACTGTTGTTCCTGCTGCTCTTTCTTATCCCCACACCTCACTCCAGTGTTCCTTCAGTTTGCCGTGTCTTCACAATTCTTATTTTATGGATCCCTCTGAGGAATTGTCACTGCTAAGCAGGGATTCCAGCTTAGGATCTATTTTCATTTCTAGAAAGGGGAGATTTTGCTGATGAGGCAGCTGAAGGGAAAGATGGTCTACTCTGTGCCCCAAAGCATTAACTGTGAGAAATCCAGAGATGTAGGTAGCCTCTTAAACTTGATGTAAGAAAACACCTGCATTTAAAAGCATTTGCTGTTTAGCAAAGTGCATGCGTGCACACGTCTGAAATGCCCTTATGCCTTCATTAGTGTTGCAACACAATCATGCCTTGTACAAATACGGTGTCCTTGAAATTTCACCTCGGAGGAGCTGGTGCCTGGATTAACCAGTGTAAGCATAGGGGCAGTGCAGAGAATGGCAATGGGTGAAGGGAGTATTCAAAGTAATTTTATGTTGGTATGTTGGAGCAGTGGGAATAGGTTGGATGACTCAGGATATACTCTGGCTAGGTGTGAATGGCACTAACTTGCCCTCTAGTGGCCAGCCTAGGATGTCAGTTCAAAGCCCTCTATATCTGAAAAGGTCAAAACAGCTAGTTTGTTTCCAGGTAGTACTGAAATTCCCAATGACTGCAATGCCTGCATTGGATTTTTAACACCTGGGGACTTGCTCATCCTCCATTAAGAACAACCACCTCTTCTTCCTGAGCTAGTTAAGCTCTACCTGTGTAAGCTGCTGTCATTCTTACTGCCCATGCATGGCTCATTCGAGCCCAGCTCTGAGGTCAGCTGCTTACCAAGGATCTGTGATCTTTCTGTGGCCCTGAATGTTTGAGCAGTAGTAAGGCAGAATGAAGAGCAAGTGCCCGTTCTCTTGCATACTGCTGGAACCAGGAAAAGACAACTCGGGGACCCAGTTGCATCTTGCTAAATATATTGGTCGTGTGCAAGTGATGTTCACACCTGCTTGCTTCTTCACCAGTGGTGCTGTCAAAGATTTGGTCAACAGAGCATCTCCTTTAAGCTTTTGATGTAGCACAGAGATGCAGAAGTATCAGTCTGGCCCTCTTGAGTTTCTCAGTTTCCCAGCCCTTTTCCTAACCACTTATCATTTAGCAATTTCCTGCCTTTTGTTGCAAGTCTCTACTCCCACCCCCAGTCTAAATGACAGACATGCTGCTCCTTAAGGCTTAGTTACTGACAGCCAGCACTTTAAGTGAAGAGAAGCTGCTGCTCTGGAGTATGCTCCTTTTGCCTCGGCCCATGCCTCCCACCAGGCTGTGCTTCTCTGGACTGGAATGTGGCCCTTGGGCAGAAAGAGGCTCTCCAAGCCTCTTCTAACAGCAGTGCAGGCAGTGGCGGTGATTATGTGCAACTTCTTAGCCCTTGTGCTGTCCTGCCTTCCCTGGCACACCTAGGCAGTTCTGTTGAAGCCAGGGCCTTATGGGGTGGGGACCCTTTCTGGTCACCAAAATCTGTTCTCTAAATGTATGAAAACTGGTCCCAGGGTGTATGCTGAAGACATGTGAGGCAGCCCCCATGCTGAAGCTAAGCAGCTCTGAGCCTGGTCCCTGCCTGGAGAGAGGACCCCTGGGGAACTACATGTAGACCCCTTGCGTGCCCTGGTGGAAGGAAGGTGGGATATAAATGCAATGGATAGATAAGCTGGTTATGTTCCTGATCTACTTACTAGCTGCTTTGCTTTTCTCCCCTGTGTGCAGGAGTTATGAGGACATGTTGGTGGATGACATGGCTAGAGACCAGTATTACTGGGCCCCTCTGGCCCAGCATGAAAGGGGCAGCTTAGCAAGCCTGGACAGCTTGCGGAAGGGAGGCCCAGGAGCAGCCAACTGGCGCCAGCCAGAGCTTCCTGAGGTCATAGCCATGCTGGGGTTTCGTCTGGATGCTGTGAAGTCTAATGCTGCCGCCTACCTGCAGCACTTGTGCTACCGCAATGACAAGGTGAAAACGGAGGTGCGCAAGCTGAAGGGCATTCCTGTGTTAGTGGGACTGCTGGACCACCCCAAGAAGGAGGTGCACTATGGAGCTTGTGGGGCCCTCAAGAACATCTCCTTTGGCCGGGACCAGGACAACAAAATTGCCATCAAAAACTGCGACGGTGTCCCTGCTCTGGTGCGTTTGCTGCGGAAGGCACGTGACATGGACCTCACAGAAGTCATTACAGGTAATTCCTGGCCCATCTTGAAGGGGGAGCGGCTAGGCAAGGAGGTGTGAGGTTCGTGGCCTGGTGTGTGCACAGAAAACTTACTAACACCACGCTTCTCATCACAGGAACACTGTGGAACCTTTCCTCTCATGACTCCATCAAGATGGCCATCGTGGACAACGCCTTACATGCCCTCACCGACGAGGTTATCATTCCACGCTCAGGATGGGAGAGGGAGCCCAGCGAGGATTCAAAGCCCCGCCACATAGAGTGGGAGTCGGTGCTCACAAACACCATTGGCTGCCTTAGGTAAGCAGGCTCTGTCTCGTGGCAGCTGCCGGGGCAACTGTGTGCTCTGTAATCTAGTGATGGTATCTGGCAAGCTGCTTGGGGCCCTGAAAGTTGCCGCCTCCTGCAGAAGAGGCATTTGGGTGAAAGTGTGTGACTCTCTTGGGTCACTTTGCTTGGGGTGGGATATGCTTTCAGACTGGAGGGAGAATTTTGGGTGATGTGGCTGCCTTCGAGCAAACTGTGATAGCTTTATGATTAATATTTTATAGTGCCTTATTTGCTAAAAGCCATCAACTCAGTACAAAGCAATTTAAAACAATACAAGTAAGAACATTAAAATGTATAAAACATTGGAACACTAAGCTATTACATGTTCATTCTTGAGAGATGGGTCTTGCACACTTTCTAATAGCCAAGAGAAGAGCTCCTGTTTGTAGTAATGTTGAATTCTTAACTGCAGGCCATTAGTACCCCATGGGGTTTTACCTGTCCCCTTCATTTCTGGGGTAGGAGAGTGCAGCACACAGAGAATGAGCAGGGTGAAGCCCCTCCTGTGTGAGCCATCCCTTAAGGAGGTGAGAGGGATGGCCGCCAGGAGCAGGGCCTTTTCTGTAGCTGCTCCCCATATTTGCAGTACTGTCCCTAAGGAGGTTCACCTGGTGCCTTCCTTACTTTCTTTTCGGTGCCCGTTGAAGAGCTTCCTTTTAAAAAAAAAAAAATAACTAATGCCATAACACCTTTGTTTTGTATTTTTTGCTTGTATTTTATTGTTATTTTTAATGTGCTGTTGGTTTTATTAGGTTTTTATTGTGTTTTTATCTTGTGGTTGTGAGCCGCCTAGAGGTGCTGTGGCACAATTGGGTGCCATGCACATGTTTTGAATAAATAGACTTCTACCGTGTCGTACAGTGTTCAACCCCAGCAGCTAGCGATTCCCAACCTGGCACAGAGCAAGAGTGGAAATTTGTCCTAACTAAGGGAGAGAGATGTGCTCGGAAAGCCGGTATCTGCTGCTGTCTCCATCTCTCATGTCTTTCCTCTGTCCTGTAGAAACGTCAGCTCAGAGAGGAGTGAAGCCCGCCGGAAGCTGCGAGAGTGCGACGGGCTAGTGGATGCCCTTATCTGCATTGTCCAAGCAGAGATTGGCCAGAAAGATTTAGACAGCAAGGTAAGCAGAGGCAGGAAGAGGCAATTCAGTTCTTTCTGCAGCCCCCCCCCCCCCGGATGGGGGAGTATATTATCCAGGGCTTTTCTTCCCTCCCAAGCACACAATGCTGTATTCTCTCTCCTTTGTGAGTACTGATCCTTAGAAGGATGATCGACAGGGAAAAGCTGAAGGATAGTTTTCCCCCATGTCATGTAATGGGGTTCTTTGCTGCAAGATGGGTATATTTTTCTTTGCCCCCCCCACCCCTATGCCTAATATTTGCCCCTCTGATTTCATAAGGCCCCTTGGAGGAGAAGTTGCTTAAGAAAGTCTGTGCTCAATTCAAGGTCACAGAAGTTATTTTATAGGTTCTTCAGGCAGAGGTGTCAAACCTCTTTTAGCCCAAGGATCAGGGAAAGTTTCAGAGGAGTTCTTGGCAGCTGCACTCCATAAATGGAAAAGGGCCTGGCCAAAAATAATCAACACATTTCAGCTTAACATGTTTAACTGCCAGTGAATCAGCTTTAGGAGAAGCTTCTGTTCAACCAATAGAAAGGAACACATGCCAAAGCTGGGAGCCACTGAACGACTGGCAGCCAGAGGATGGGGTCAGGCCCAGAGAAAGATCTCTCAGGCGGACCCAGAGTGCCAGCTTGGGACCCTGGGCAGGCTGGATATGGCCTGTCAGCCTGAGGTTTGACACCTACTGTAGAGACTGCTTGGTTTATTGTCCTGAGCCTCCAGATCCATGCAAAGTGGGAGAGGCGCAGGAAAGCAAGATGGAGCTGTCCCTAACTTTTGGGAAAGACTGGCTGGCTGGCATTGGCAGATGCTACCATCCCCCCTTTGCCTTCATGCTCTTTCTGATTCCACTGATACCAGGAGCTGTGCATCTAAAAATCTTCAGCCATGAGAATGTGATTCCCAAACCTAATCCTTCACCGTAGCCCTTGCAACATGCACATGTTCACCAGCAGTTTGTAGCCTCCATATTTCCTAGCACAGCTGGGGGTGGATGTTTTGACTCATTAACAGAAGGGCCCCCCGTGCTCTGAGATGATACAAGCTGTGACTTTATCTTATGGTTGCTGTTTTGTGTGACTGCTCTGTGGACTGGCTGAACTTCAGTAACCTTGATGTCTAACTTGAGGACCTGTCCATCTTCTGCTAGCTTGTGGAAAACTGTGTCTGCCTCCTGAGGAACCTCTCCTACCAGGTGCACCGTGAGATCCCCCATGCAGAGCGCTATCAGGAAGCCCCACTTGCTGCCCCCAACAACACTGGACCCCATGCAGCCAGCTGCTTTGGTGCCAAAAAGGGCAAAGGTACGATGCCTCCTTTCCAGCATCTGCCCAGCCTTTCAAGAGGGAAGGCAAGGGAGTGGGGAGAAGAAATCAGTGTCTGAGTGCTTTTCAATCACCCTTTGCTTCCTAGAGCAAACGGCTGCTTTCTGCAGAAGCATCCTGCAGATGCATCGAGCCGCTTTCTGGCTTTTCTGCTGTTTATCTCTCAAGCCTGTGATTTGTATGGTGGGCTTTTTGTTTGGTGTGTCAATCAAGGTGATGGATGGGCCCTTCAACTAATTTGTGGCCTGTTTCCCCTTCTCTTTGCTTTTTTCTTCCAAATGACCTGTGATCCTGCTGGCATCTCTTCTCTCTTGCTCCCTTCTTCCCTGTCCTTCTCTTCACCAAAAGATGAATGGTTCGCAAGAGGTGAGTTGAGCTTTTCTTTTCTTATTTTGTGGCATGACTGATTCTGTGAAATACGGGACATACCAAGTTTCTGCCTAATCTTTGCTCTTTTATCATTTTGGATACTGAACACAGAGGGGTGTGTGCACGCACGCACGCACACATGTGCTTGTCCCTGCAGCTTTGTCCTTCCTTGGGGCAAGATGATCTCTCTGTTCTGTGGCTTGCGTTCTGCTTAGCAAGAGTATCAGAATGACCACTGAGACATAACTACAGCAAAGTCTAGTTTTTAAGCTACTGCACATACTTTCAGCTAAGCAGCTAAGTAACCTTCCTGTAGTCTTGACTGACTTCTTCAGGGTAGCCTTTTCCCACTTTTTTTTAATTAGCAGCATGTCTTTTGCTAACTGGAAGAGTTTTAGCACCTTTCCTAACGTGGTTATGACAAGATGAGCAAGATTGGAGGGCTGGGGCAGGCATTGCCCCTCAACCTCGTTACTGCTGACATCTTGATTGCTGCTCCTGCTGCTTGCCACTCCAGTCCTTCTGGCAGCACTCCCTTCTCTGAAGGAAGTGAACTCAGAAAACTTTGAACAGAATGAATTCTACAAATTTGAGGAATGCAAACTTTGTGCTATGTCAGTCAATTTACATTCGGGGTTCTTTTTGGCTACTGAACTTGCTCCTGCTTGGATCTTCTCCAAAGGCGTAATGGAGTAAGAACTCCTCTCTTTGAACTGGAAATTGGCAGTGTCAGCTATGGCATGGCTAATTTGCAATGGCAAGACATTCATCTTGCATTTCTTGACAGTGGAGAAAGGCTGCTGGGCTGAAAACTTCCCTGGCCTAAAGTTTAGAATGAAATAGGGAGGGACCCTTCAATAGGACACACGCACTACACCAGGGTGGAAAACCTGTACACTTCAGGAGTTCTGGCCTGCAACTTAAGCTTAAGCTAGCATATTCACTGGTGAAGGATCATGGGAGCTTCAGGCCATGACATTTGGAGAGTCACAAGTTGCCCAGCCAAATTTTGCACACATAAGAAGTCCCCAATTCATTCCTGGCATTTCCAGTTAAACCAGCCTTCGCCAGCCTGGTGCACTTTTGATGTTTGTTTGTTTGTTTGTTTGTTTATTAAAACATTTTTATGCCGCCCCATTCGCTGAAGCCTCGGGGCGGCTCACAAGTCCCATAACATCCAGCCAGCAAGGCCAAGAATCATGGGGAAGACCAAGTTAAATGATCTCTGGCAGCTGAACATGCTGAAATATGTGGAAAGTCACTACTTGATAGAGCAGGCACTATGATAGAAGCATCATTGGTTTGGCTTTTAATAACATAATTCTTTTTATCTCCTGACTACAAATGGGCAGGCACAAATTTCCCTTTTTATCTTTGCATCCATTGTTGGGTGGAAGAGTCTGTAGCTTTAAGAGGGTGCATTTACCTTGTAACAGAACACAGAGAGAAGGGCGTTTTGTTTTAATGTAGTCTGCTTTCTTTTTCAAGGTAAAAAAACAGCCGAGGATACTTCTGCTGATGTAGTTGATTTTCCCAAAAGACAAACCCCTGCAAAAGGTATTCTTCCCATTCTTTTATAATTCAGTGTTCTGTTTGTGTGCAGAAGGTACCATGTTCACTTTCTGGAAGGATTAGGTAGCTGAAGGCCAAAGGGTTAGAGCCAGAATCCTCCAAACACCAGCATATTTTATTTTAAATCTTTTGACTGCCAGCAATTAAACTTTGGCAGCTGCATCTCAGCCATTTAGAACTGGGAGCAGGGGAGCCCCCAGAAAGGCCTGGAACATGCCAAACAATTGGCATTGGGGGAAAAGGGGGTGCAGCCAAGAAAAGGGTGTGACTCTGTGAAAAATGCCAGAAGGCCAGATTGGACCCCATCCTGGAGTTTTGCATCTCTGTGCTTGGGCTGTCGCTGATCAGAATAGACTGAACCAGGTTTGGGGGATCCAAATATGATGTACTATATAAAGAGCTTTCCTCTCGTCACTTTTGCTTCTTCAGCTGCATTTCCACTGCAGCTTTTTGTTGTGTGTCCTGCCGCAGGTTCAGCTTTAACCTAAGGCGAAGGATGTGGGTCATGAGCTGTTCAGACATGTTTTACTGGGGGCTGAGGTGGAGATGCACATGTTTCAATGTAAGAAACAATCCCAAGTCTTAGCAAAGGTGTGGTATGCAGCTGTGCCAGCAAAGCAGCTAGTCTTGCTCAGTGGCCTCAGCCTGTAATGCCAGTAAGGGGCAGACCATTGTCCTCCTAGGTGTACGGGATGGATGGATGCCTATTTTATACGCAGTGCAGCAGAAGTAAAACAAAAGGTGAAGTGTACGAGGCTGATGACTTGCCAAATCAGGAAATGAAAAGTGCTCTTCTCTGTGGTGTGTTTAGCTGAAGTTAATTAAACATGGAGCCAGAATTTAAAATGTGTTGGATCCAGTGGCCCCCTCCCCCTTGTCAAGTGATGTTCTGTCATGGTTTAGGATTCTGCTTAAGACTAGGGAAAAAGACTGAACAGCTTCAGTGCCTGTTGAGAGCATTAGACTCTCTTGTATGTGCATCATTTCACCTTCTCTTTATAAGATCCCTGTGCTGTCCCCGCATCTGAATTTCCATCAGATAATTACCAAAGCAAGGGGGAATATGGAAATATGTTTAAATGTTCTAATGGGATTAGAAGATCTAGGAGAATAAAAATGCCTCTGGCCCTGAAAGGATAAGTGTAGGCCTGTTTTGGGAGGGAGGGAATTCCATGAACCAGGGGAGGGGGGCCTCTATCATTTATTTATTACATTTCTATCCCACCTTTTTTCCTTTCAGAAACTCAAGGCAGCTTGCATAATTCTCTTCCTCTCAATCTTATCCTCACAACAACAACCCTGTGAGGTGGGTTGGGCTGAGAGTCTGTGACTGGCCCAAAGTCACCCAGTTGGCTCCATGGCTGTGCGGGGACTGGAACCCAGATCTCCTGAGTCCCAGACCCACACTCTTAACCATACATCACACTGACTCTCTGATCTCCCTTCTCATTACGGAGAAGGATTTTTTTCTGGCCAGCCACTTGATCTTGGATGGGTGTGTGTGTGTGTATGAGAGAGAGAGAGAGAGAAGAGGAGATCTTTTGTAGGTGTTACATCTAACTTGGATATGTGCTTCTTCCTAGGATATGAGCTCCTTTTCCAGCCAGAGATTGTTCGTATCTATATCTCACTGTTGAAGGAGAGCAAAACCCAGGCTATCTTAGAAGCTTCAGCGGGAGCCATCCAGAATCTGTGTGCAGGTCGTTGGACGGTGAGTGGCTACACTAAAGCTCCCACAGTTGCTAACTGGATCCTGTGTGTTTCAAAGAAACCCAACAAAGGAGTTGAAATTCAGGCCATGGGCAAAGCAGAAGAAAGGCCTCTTTGTGCACATGAAGGCGGAAGCCCATGTGATCCACCCTTATATCCTGGAGCATGTTGAACTGGACAGACTGGCATAAACGAGTATTGATAATTTAAGATTGGTTTTGTTCCCATGGATGGAAAAGGGCAGGAATGCAAAGGGGCTGGGAGGTTGACGATTGCCATCATGGAAGAGCTGACTAGGGTTCCCCAGAGCCAGTGCTAGGCTGCTGCTCTTTCTTGCAACCACTTTATCTTTTTGTCCCACCAATTTGTTTTAAAGCAAATTAGGTACAGCCAAAAACACCAGGGAGTTTTGCAGTGTTGCTTGATTTTTAAAAGCCATGCAAGTTCCTGCTTGTCTCCCAGCCAAGGGGCCTTGAACCTCATAGGCTGCTACTTGCTGCAATCTGGGTCAGCCTTTGTGTTTGCATCTTCTTCATCATCCCAGTTACATCCTGCCTTTTTCCCCCCATTTGTGAGGAATCCAAGCCAGCTTACAAGGCTCCTCCTCTTCATTTCCCTTCACAACAGCAACCCTGTGCAGTAGGTTAACCTGAGAGTCTGTGACTGGCCCAAAGTCACTTCAGAAGCTTTATGTCTGAGTGGGGACGAGAACCTGGATCCCCCGAGTCCCAGTCTAGCACTTTCACCACTGTGCCGCACTGACTCTTGCTACACTACCTAAGGTGTAAAGAGAGGCTTTCAGCCTGAGGGACAAATCCATATTTGAGGAAACTTTCAGAGGCCTCATCATTCCGGTTCTGAGTTGGGGCAAAAGGAGACGTGGCTGGGCTTAATACCAGTCTGCTGTAGCTCGAAGAGGCATCTCAACCTTTGGGGGTGGGGTGGTACAAAAGCTGGGAAAGTACCTAGTGATTGGTGGTTGGAGAAATGGAAGTGCAGCCAGAAGAAGGGGGTTTGCCTACCTGGGGAACCCTGGAAAGCTGGACTGAGTCTCCAGCGGCCTGGGCTGGGCCTGTAATTCAGCAACCCTGCTTAAAAGTAAAACTCTGCTTTCCAGTCCTGTGGTTCTGCCTACTGGTTAAAGCCCTGCTTTTAAGCCCTTCAAACTTTGGCAGGCTAAGGAAGGAGGATTCCTGGTGCAGAACCCCTCCCTGCAAGGGATGGAGCTGTGCACAGGTCTGTCCCTCTGTTCTCTCTTCTGTCCTCTGGTGTCTTTAGTACTCCCAGTTTTTCCTCAGCTACTTTTGCCCTGCTCTGCTTCCCATCTTCCCCAAACACACACATACACAAGTGCATGTTGCTCCCCTTCCACCCACCCTTCCTTCTCTAGCTATAAAAGGCAGTCTGGATTGGCTTATGCCCAGCTGCTAGAAATATTTTCTAATAAAGGAACAGTAGAGGACATCCCAAGTTTGGGAGCATTTCTTACTTTTCTGCTGTACTGATCTAGTAGGAAGTTGCTTGGTAAAGGAAGCTGAATGCAGCAGGCACTCCACCCTAGCTAGGGCATAGAAAAAATTGTTCAGGAGATGGAGGTGCAGAGAAGGAATGGAGGAAGCATATCGCCTTTCTCCCTCCCCACCCCTTACTTGAACAGTCCTAGTATGCACGCAAATGCTGGTCTCTGAAGTGGTTAGCAGGTCCAATTTTGAAGGCAACAGCCATGGAAGAAGTCAGAAATTAACTTGGGGGCACTTTCATGGCTGCCTGGATCTTGCTGCCAAGTCTCCTCTGGTCTAAGATTTCAAAGCGAGATGAAGGTTTTGTATGTCACCTTGCAGCCATGGGGAATTTCCAGAATGGAAGAGTAAGTCAGCATTGTGGTAACAAAGGCATGTGGCCAGCTCCGTGTTAGCTGTAAAAATAAACAGCTGGTCTCAGGGACTGTATATTGAAGTACTGGGTTGACTGTGGGCTTTGGCTATAGGATTTCCAAAGGAAACTGAGCTTGCCCTTTAGGAAGGTTGCAAAGGAAGGGAAGTCAGGAACATCTTGTTCCAGGGGAATCTTGCTCTAGCAGCATGAACAGAAAGTGCAGTCCTGTGCAGGGGCCCCCAGCCCAGCGGCCACGTCCTGTAGCTCTTGACTTCAAGCTGATGCTGTGTTGTCTCTTACAGTACGGGCGCTACATTCGCTCCGCCTTGCGCCAGGAGAAAGGCCTCTCTGCCGTCGCTGACCTTCTGACCCATGATAGTGAGCGTGTGGTGAAAGCTGCATCTGGAGCGCTGCGCAACCTGGCAGTGGATTCCCGTAACAAAGAGCTGATAGGTGTGAGCCGGAAGAGGAAGGGGCTTTTCAGATTTTGGGCCTGAGTAATGCGCATTTAAAAAAAATTAAAATACACACACACGCACCTGTACTTTGATTTCCTTGACTCCCAGCTATCAATGTTGGATAATTGGGACTCGACTCTTTAATTTACTTCACATAGGTCTAAAACAAAACCAGAATTTAGCTTCCTGCAATGCTGAAATCAGTCCTTACACTGATTGGTGGATGCTGGGAGTTGTAGTCCAACACATCTGGAGGGATCTTGCTGGGAGGGCCAGGACACAGCATTGTGTCCCTTTTCCCTTTTCCAGCCTCTTAGCAAACAAGACTCGGCTGGCAACTTTGTCTGCCAGGCGAGTGAATGAAGCGCTTTGAACGGCAGTTCCTTGATCTTGTGAGAGCGCCACCTTTGTGCTCTGCACAACTCTTCTCATGCCCCACTTTCAAGAAGAGAGGCTTTCTAGGTACCTGAAGAGCTCAAGCAGGGCTTGCAGGATGCAGGCAGCCCTCTGCCACTTCTGTCTTCTGCCCATAACCCTCCTTTCTCTTAACTGACCCTGATCTACTCCTGCTTCTAGGTAAACATGCCATTCCTAGTTTAGTGAAGAATTTGCCAGGGGGTCAACAGATGCCGGTGAAGAACCACTCTGAAGATACCGTGGTCTCAGTGCTGAACACTATAAATGAGGTTATTGTGGAAAACTTGGAAGCAGCGAAGAAACTGCGGGAGACGCAAGGCATTGAGAAACTGGTGCTGATCAACAAATCTGGGTGGGTGCAAACCCTGGGGAGGGCCCAGGTGGACAGTGCCTGGACACTTCTCCATAAGCCCTCCCCACAATCTCTCACTTTTTCCTCAGTGCTTATGGACTAGGCTTATTATCTGATAATAATTATCAGTGCTTATTATCTCGACCCATTTCAGTCCGGCTTCAGACCCGGGTACGGTACTGAATCTGCCTTGGTCGCCCTGTATGATGACCTGTGCAGGGAGAAGGACAGGGGGAGTGCATCCCTGTTGGTTCTTCTGGACCTCTCAGCGGCTTTCGATACCACCGACCATGGTATCCTTCTGGATAGGCTAGCAGGATTGGGGGTCGGAGGCACTGCTTTGCAGTGGTTCCGCTCCTATCTCAACGGCCAATTCCAGAAGGTAGTGCTGGGGGACTGTGGCTCTGCGCCATGGCAGCTATGCCATGGAGTACCGCAGGGGTCCATTTTGTCCCCTTTGCTGTTTAACATCTACATGAAACTGCTGGGAGAGGTCATCAGGAGGTGTGGGCTGCGGAATCATCAGTACGCTGATGATACCCAGCTCTACCTCTCATTTTCCACTAATCCAGGTGATGCAGTGGCTGTGCTGAACCGGTGCTTGGGCGAGGTAATGGGCTGGATGAGAGCCAATAGACTGAAGCTCAATCCAGACAAGATGGAGGTCCTGTTGGTTGGCGGATCGGGCTTCGGAGAGGGTGGATTTGACCTGGTCCTGAACGGGGTTGCACTCCCTCTTAGGGGCAAGGTCTGCAGCTTAGGAGTACTCCTCGACCCGGAGCTTTCATTGGAAGCTCAGGTGACAGCGGTGGAGAGGAGCGCTTTCCTTCAGCTTCGGCTGATTAATCAGCTGCACCCCTACCTGGAGTACGACTGCCTGGCGACAGTGACACACGCGCTGGTGACTTCCGGCCTTGACTTCTGTAACGCGCTTTACATGGGGCTCCCCTTGAAGATGGTCCGGATACTTCAATTGGTTCAAAATAGAGCTGCCAGGTTGCTGACGGGGACGGGGTGTTATGTTCACATGACTCCAGTCCTCCGACAGCTTCACTGGCTTCCCATTGAAGTCCGGGCCCAATTCAAGGTGTTGGTTATGACCTATAACGCCCTAAACAGCTTGGGACCTGGTTACCTGAAGGAGTGCTTACATCCATATATGCCCAACCGCCCCTTGAGATCTGCGGGAGAGGCCCTTCTCCGGGAACCCTCCGTGAAAGAAATTAGGAGGGTAGGTACTCGGAGGAGGGCTTTCTCTGCGGTGGCGCCCAATCTATGGAATGTGCTCCCCAGAGAGGTCCGCCTGGCGCCGTCATTTGTTTTTCGGCGCCAGGTGAAGACCTTTTTATTTAAACATCATTTTAATTGTTAACAATATTTACTTATCTGGCCAGGGCGACTTCTTTTCTTTTATAACTTCTTTTATATTGTTTATATTTTTTATTTATTTTATATTATTAATTTTATTTTTATATTGTTATTTTTGTATTGTATTGTGTTGTAAGCCGCCCCGAGGCTTCAGTAAGGGGCGGCATAGAAATGTTCTAATAATAATAATAATAATAATAATAATAATAATAATAATAATAATAGGCTGTTGATTTTTTTGTTATATTTTTCTGTTCTTGCATTCTAGGAACCGCTCGGAAAGAGAAGTCAGAGCAGCTGCTCTTGTATTGCAAACCATCTGGGGGTATAAAGAGTTACGGAAGCCGCTGGAGAAAGAAGGGTGGAAGAAGGCTGACTTCCAGGTATTTGGCCAGGTGTTGAGGAAGGACTTGGAGTGTGTGGGGGGTGAAGAGGGTTAGGCAGGTTGTGCTTTGTCCTACGAATGTGAGTCAGAGATGGTTGCCCTTTCAGGTCTTTATGACTGGATGAGCCGCTTCTGTGGCCAACATGGTGCCTTTTCAAAATAATGAAAGCAGATTTATAGTACCTGGCCTAGAACCCAGAGAAGCAGTTTAGTGGCTGCTGTGCGGAAGCAGAGCATCCTTCCAGTCCTTGCACGCCACCGGGCCTTTCCTTGTGAGCAATCGTATTTGCCAGCACAACAGGCGTTGCATCTCTTTTATTTATTATACTTGCCTTCTGCTTTTCCTGAAGTTCACATGCAGAGTATATTCTGCCCCGCCCCCCATCCTCACAACATCCCTGTGAAGTAGGTTATGCTGAGAGGCAGTGATTGGCCAGAGGTCACCCAGCGAGCCTTGTGGTCGAAAGTGTCTCATCAGTCCGTTCCATTTCCCCAATCCACTGCACCTGCCCAAAAGAACCAAGGGAAACGCCTGTGACGCCAGCTCTCCTGCTGAAGGATTCCCTTGTACTTGCTTGCCCTTGCTGCCTGCCAGGTGGGTTCTGCAGATGAGACTGGCCTCCTCCTAAGGGGTGGGTGCTGCTGATGCCTGTAGGCACTAGATGGCAGCCTGTACGAACTAGCTAGGAAGGGAGGTAGGCAAGCCCTGCCTCATGATGACGTACAGTTACTGAACAGTCCCTTCTTCTCAGGTGCATCCGAATACCATCTCCAGGAACCAGGGGGGCAACTCCTTCGATGACAGCACCTTGCCTCTCATTGATAAGAACCAAAAAGGAGGTAGGTGGAGGTTTGGCAGCAGTCTGTGTCTGAATCCCAGGCCTGGTGCCAGGTCATGTGTTTCCTGGGGCCTGTATGCAGCAGAGGAGGATGGAACCCCGGAAACGGCCTGCAGGGCAGTCCGTTCTCTCTTTTTTAGCCTGGTATTGTTTGCACTGGCTGACGGTAGCTCTCCAGAGTTCAGGCTGTTCACCTAGCTGGGACTGTGTGCTGCTGCAGATGAGGCTGCTGCCACTCCATGTCATTTAGACAGAGTGGGAGAGAGGTGGACACTTGCTTCCTTTTCCATGGGAAGAGCTCGATGAAGTTCAAAAAGCAGCGTGTGGAGAAGGCTGACCCAGGGACATGTGTGCACCCGTAGTTTTCTGCAGTGTGTCTGTGCTGTGCAGTTTTACCGGAGAAGTAGCAGCGACCGTGTGTGCAGATACGGCACTGCTTCATTGTTGAAAAAGTGGTGTAAATCGTGTTGTTTGCACGACTTCAGTTTGCTTGTGTTTGCCACTTTCTTTTGGGAGCAGTTCTCCTGAGGGGGCTTGCTCTTGCTCTTTGCACCACAGGCAGCGTCCTGCGGTTCGAAGCACAGTGTTGAGCTTTCGCTGGAAGAGCATCCCACTTCCCTGCCAGATGGTTCTTGTGGAGTGCATGTAGGGGGTGTGATTAGGAGAACCTGCCAGAGGGCACCCATCCTGGGCAGAAGCTCCCCCCTTGCCCTTGAGGGCTGCTCTCACGCCCACTTCCACAGCAACCAGCTCTAGGGACTGCAGGAGCATTGGCACCGAACCAGCCTGCCTAGACTCCAGCACACCAGGACACGGGCACAAAGGAGTTGCATCCTTTGAATGCATTCTTGTGTTGGGGAAGTATCTAGGAAGAGGAAAACACCACATTTTGCTCATACAAAACTTGACTCGGGGGAATAGAGCTCCCCCACCCCCCATTCAGGTCTGCTCTGTGGAGGGCAGGAGAGAGCAACCCTACATGGGTACTTGCAGGTACTTCCCACAGTAGAGACATTCAAATAGAAACCAGACGGCCATCTCAGTGGGATGGTGTGACTTGGGGTCCTGCAACAGCAGGGGTTGGACTGATGGCCTTCATGGCCCCTTCCAGCGCTACTATTCTATGATTCTAGGTTGTCTTTTGGCCAGTGAGCCTCACGAAAAATGCTGCTGTTGGCAAAGCACTAAACAACTTGAGACTAGCATACATAACAAACTGTCTTCCCCCATAGAAACCAAATTGGCCCCTAAAACCTTTTGAGAAGCCTACCTGGTCATCTTGTGACCAGGCGTGTGTCAGCAGGTAGCGGAATGTACAGTGCTCTCCCAGGTGTGGTCCGAGAGGCAGGAACAGATAAACATTCGATATGTCTTGAAGACAGACCTGCCTACTTAAGCTTTCCCTGATAGGTCATTGCACTGCTTTGCTTGGCCATTTCTATAATATTTCTAATAGATTGATTAGGGTACATTTTTGTGTAATATATTTTATTCATTTAAACCACTTAAAGATCTTGCAATTTTTGAAACTATATATAAATTGTTTAATAAATCAACACCAAATACATATGCATCAGCTCCTTTTATCATATTTAGAGGGCTCTTGAAGCCATTCTTTCTTTAGCAGTGCCTTTTTGGGGCAACTTGGTTTCCTATGTTTTTTGAGTTGTAGTTTAAGACTGGTTTTAGCTGTACCTTTATTCCATGAGTATTTAATTTTGTTAAAGATGATGATGATTTACTACAAGAAGCTGCAGGGGACTGTCAGTAGAATAGCAAGATTTAGGCTGAATGAATGCTTTTATTAAACAGCAGCAGCAACAGAACAAGGGCAGCACTATGTTGAAAACAGTAAAGAAAGTCATGATTTTGAACAGTCTGTGTTGCAATTTAAAAGAACGATCATCCAAAGAAGAGTATCGTCTTGTAATAGTAGCCCATGATTTCTAGCATCATGGAAAATGGGAGAAGCAAAATGACGTAAGTCTTCCAACTCACGAGAGGCTTCTCCTGGGGCCCCCTTTATGGGTTGTTGATTAACCCAAGCATAGCTAGTTAAAATCAGGAGTCTGGTTTCTGCATCTAACTGTTTTGGTTTTATTTTCTGTCTAGACAAGAAATCCTCTCGAGAGGAGATCCAGATGGGCAACATGGGACCAGGTATGGGAGCTTCAGAGGAAAAAGGGGAAGAGGATGCTTGGACTTTTTGGCATACCCAAGAGAAGTGCTGCTGGATAAAATCCACAACCAACCCTGCATCTGTATAGCTCCAAAGTGCTCTGCCACCCGCAGCTGAGTCCTGTGCATGCGTGGCACTAGTCCATCCAATGTAACTATGTAGATGCTGAGTTTAGGTCTTGGCCAGCACTTCCCATCACTCCACACAGCCAACGTGTGACCCCCATAGCTGGCATTCCAGCTTTGCCTAGAATGGTTCTGTTCTGCCTCTGGGGAAGCAGCATTCCCCAGTTTCAGTGTGCCTGCCTGTATTCCTAGCAAACCTGCCTTGCTACTGTAGGGGTCTTTTGCAGGCAAGCCAATGGTTTCTACCCATGATCTAGCTGTCGGCCTCACTTTGGCACAACTAATCTCTCTTCCAGATACCTGCAGTTAATTCATGTATGCCAATCTTGGCTTGACAAAGTGATCTCGGGAACAAGGGGTGGTGTACCTTCCTCGCTGGCAGCCTTGTTACACCCTAAGACAGGAGGGGGTACCTTAGGCCAGCTGACCAAACCCAGCCCCCTAGAGAGCCCCAGATGGCTGTGCCCCCTTTCCCCAATGGTTGATTATGTGGTGGTTTCAAGGCTTTGGTGCAGTTTTTTCTCTTTCCAAAAGGTCCAAATGCCTTCTTAGGGCTCAGATACCGACACTAACAATTTTTAAGTTACAATAAGCAATGCAGGGGTTGTTTTGTTTTGTTTTTTTGTGTGTGTTTCTGCTGCACTGTTTTTGCACTTGGCCGTGCTCATCACTGGAATGTGCGCCCCAAGAGCTTTTTAAAATCACATTCCCTCGCAGGATGAAACATGCTACCGGAATGGTGTTGGGGGGGCGGGCGGGCAGCCCCCCTACAGGTCGATCTGCTTGCCAGTGCCATGAAACTAGCAAGCAGGTAGAGTTACTGGGTGAGGAGGCAGAGGAGAAGAGTCCAGACAGACCACAGTGGCCATCCTCTGTCCCAACCTTCAAACACGCCTGCTGGGTTCACAGATAATGCCAACCTGTGGTATGGGTTGTGGGTCGTTGTAGCTACCCGGTCAGATTAACAAACTATGGTTTACTAACGACAGACAACCCAGAAGGAGAACCCACAGTTTGTAGTTGGGATGTGAACTCTGTTTAAGCTATGGTTGTTTTTGTGGGCGAAAGTGTAATTGTTTCACCAGCTTGCAGAGGCTGTGGACAAGATTTTTTTTTTTTAATGGCTCTACATGCCAGTGCTTGGTCACAAGGGGACTTCAATAAAAGGAGAGAGTGGGGAAGGGCAGAGGATAGCAACCAAGGCATTAAAAATGTTTGCCAATCAAGCCCTGGGTAGAGCAACAAACCATAGGTAAGATAAGCCAGCATGTGTGAACCAGGCTACATGTAGCCTTTCTTTCACCTTTTTTCTAGCCTTTCTTCTCACCAAAACATTCTTCCTTGAGTTCTTTGCCATTATAATTCACCTCATTCCAAAGCTTGAAGTGATAATGTTGTAGTGGGTGCATCCAAGTATATGTTTTGTCCCAAGAGCAGTGCTGCTTGTGCACAGAAGCCTCCTGATCTCTTGCTGTGCGTTGTGGCAGGGAAGGAGGTGGTGGAGTTTGTTCCCTGGCAGGCTGATGTGATGCAAGGTGACTGGGGTGTCCAAAGGGGAGCTTGCTTCCCCCAGCAGCCTGTTTGCCTTGGGCCCATGTGAATTTTCCTTATATCAGATATCCCTCTTGATTTCAGACAACTACTCAACACTGAATGAACGGGAACATAATAGGACATTGGACCGATCTGGAGAAGAAATGGAATCTGTGAAGGGAGCACCACTGATGGTAAAGACCTGGGGTGGCCATTGACGGAGGCACCTAGTGGGTGGTCACTGAGGTAGCAAGGATGGTCAGGGAAGGTTTGTGTGGCTGGAACTGGTGAAGAAGCAGCTTTGGAAGGGTCCACTCACACTGAAAGCCCAAGGATCTCTAGCACTAAAGAGTGCACTGGGAACAGTGCTGGTATGTGCCATTCTCCTTGCTCTCTTACCCGATGTTTTGGAGGCTCGTTAAGGTATTTGCTGTGTGACTAACCCGGGCTCCGTTGACTTGTCTGTTTTCCGCTCAGCCTCTCATTCACTTTCCCCAGTGACTTTTCAGTTAGACTCCTTGTCCCTCCATCCCACTGCCTCCCCTCCTACATAACATGCCATCCTTACTAACCATACCTATGTCTACAGCAGGAGGAAGGGCAGGAATTCCTTGAGGAGAATGACCACTTGTCTTATCCCCCTATGGTATGTTCTTGCTTTCTGACAGTGATCCTCTCCCTCTGTGTTGGTGTGTGTGTGTGTGTGTGTGTGAGAGAGAGAGCGAGAGCGAGAGAGCTGTCTGCTTCTAAAATCCGATCTTTGTAGGGTTTAATCTGGGGTCTTGCTCAACCAATCTCTTCATCGACCAAATGCAGCACCAAGACTCTGAGGTTCTGACCGCTTAATGATTCCATGTCTGATCTGCTTGCCGTGTGGAAAGCTGTTGCGTGTTGCCCTTGTATGATTGCTAACAGCAGCTTTTTTTCCTTTCTCCACAGCAGAAGATCTAGAGTTGCCACCATCTGCCTTCTCTGTTTTGAGTTTATAACATAATATGTATAACCCTTTGTGGTGAAATGGACTGACACTTTTTTTAATCTCTTGGCACGCGAGTCCAGCCACCCTGCCAAAATGACTGGCCCCCCCTTGAGCCCAGAGCGCCTCACACCTCCCTGTAGATGGCTGTGCATCCAACCTCTGGACACTTTTTTGTCTATATTTTTCAAAAATGCAAGAATTCCTCAAGACCAAATACTCCTGACAGATCTCATTAGAGCGACCAAGGCAGACACGTAAAGCTACACGCTTCTGCTGTATCCACAGCCAATGATGGAGGCCATGGGTGCAGGCTCCACTGAACTCGACCTTACTGGAACTAGTTTTTCTCAAGGAGATGTGTCCAGCTCTCTTCACAGAGAAGTGGAATGGGAGCTCATCTCCTCCTCCTCTTAGCCTATAGAATATATTTTTGTGTGTGATTTCATTTTTTTGCAGCAAAGGATGCTGGGAATACTGGAACATTCCTGGTGGGGGTGGTGGGGATGGTGATGAGGGAGGGGCAGAGGGTGGGAGATGACAAAGGAGGGAACAGCTTGTGAGTGGCCACATCTGGGTAATCTGGGGGCAAGATGGCCTTAAAGAGTGCTTCTGTGAAGGCACGGCCTTCTGTATCCTCGTCAGCTGAGGAAGAATGTGTTCATCTTCATCTGGTTTCTCCCGTTTCTTAGTTATTCTCGATGGTTTAGTCTGACGTGGGTTAACTTGGCGTTTAGGAAGCTATTTATTTGTGGGAGAAGAGCAGCTTATGGGGTGTAGGGTTTGATGGAAGGAGAAGAAGACGAGTATGTTAAATGGAAGACGTGTGGCTGAAGGGGCCTAAGTTTTCAAACTTCAAGGTGGCAAGTTCAACATTCTGTCAGAGAGGACAAATGAGGCATCTGGTTTGGATTGCTGTTGGATGATTTGGACTTAAGTGGTTGTTGCCGATGCTGGAGTGCAGGGTGGGGGGCTGATGAAGTGGGAAGCTTGGTGATGCTGAGAGCATGTGAGGGAGGGAAGGCAAGATCTCTGTAAATATTGTCCAGATCCTCCCATGCTGGCAGGGGAATGAAACAGATAACCACCTGTCCCTATCTACACGTGCCTTTCTTTGCCACTGTGAAATAGCTTGGTGCTTTTCCTAGTTTTGAGAGGGGAAGGTAGAGCACCTGGACTGGAGAGAGAGGTTTTGGGCACAGAGTTACACTCCTGCTCTCCCCTAACTCCTTGCCTGGGAACCAAAAGTTGGCTATCCTTACCTGGAATAGTGGTGCTCAGAATGCTATTACCAGTAGGTGAGTTGGGGAGTCCAGGAGCTCACCTGGTGACTAGTAAAGGCTCACGGGGCCAGGAAGGGAGCGGTGAAATCCCTGTTGGACGAGGATCATGGTGTGCACCTTCACAGCTCCCCTCTTCAGGGAACAAAACGAATTTAGGGTCCACTTCCAGATCTGTGTCCTACTCTTCAGGGCTGCAGGAAAGGGGACAGTAGTGAGCAGCTCTGGACACCACATTGGTTTCTGCCCCTTTCCTGCTGAAGAGGACCTGCCAACTCCCACCCATCCCAGCCTCAAAGCCCTGCCCTTGGCCCAGTAACTGGAACAAACTCTGTTGCCCTTGACTTCTGGGATTGTCTCCACACAAACAGTCCAGAGGGAAGGCCTGACGGGGAAGATTCTTGGTGCCTCTGTATTATGCTCAATCCCAGTTTTACTTTCCTCTAGGGGGAGTGGGAGGAATTAGACATGTAAATCAGCTTTCTGAGGGGGGAGGCACTCAACTTTTCTAATGTAAAACACTATTTCCTTTTTTTAATTCAAGTTGAACCAAAAACAACAACAACAACCCTTCCCCACTGACCAGTTCAATGCTGTAGGACAGCCTTCCTCATTTTGGTGCCTTCCACATGCGTTTGGCTGCAATTCCCAGGATTCCCTGGACAGCATGGCTACTTAGGGATGCTGGGAGATGTATGCAAACACATCTGGAGGGCATCAGGTTGAAGGGATCCTGTTATAGGAGGAACTATTAATTCACTGATGGTTGTTTGGTTTTATTGCTTTTCCTTTGCACCCCCAGGGGGAGGGGGTATCCTGCTGTTCTTTGAGTCTTGCGCTCACTCTGTAATGCTTTTAAAATGAAATGATTTTTATATAAATAAAGTTTTAAAGTGTGTATTTGTTAAAATGTAATTGTCTTATCCAAATCTTGTTGAGTCTTGCCTTTTACTTTTTCATGGAAATTGCCTGCAAACTTAACATGGGTTTCAGTTGCTGCAGATTAATAGCCTTTATTTATTTTCTCTGTGCCAAACTGGGCTCACTTGGGGGGTGGGGTGGGGAAAGATGTGCTCCTGCTCAGGTGAATTGAAGCCTGAAAAAAAGAAACTTTGAAAAGTTAACCATCAAGATTTTACACATCCCATAATGATTATCCGTTTTATTAATTAGTTTGTTAGATTTATTTTCTGCCTTTTTTCTTACAAAGTACTCAAAGCATCCATTTTCTCTCCCTGCCTTTTTGTAAGCATTGGTTTTTACTTTGTCATTTCTGCCTGTGACTTGGACTGTGATAAACAGAAATATACAGGCTTAACATCTATTACTCTCTGCAGACTATGCTTTCCATCCTTAATGCAATGAATCCCATTTGTAACCTGTGGGCAATTAACTCTCTCCTTTTGTTAAAAGTTTTCTCCTCTTTCCCTCTTCAGTCTCTGCACTTAAGGAGCAAGCAGGAGAAAATAGGAAGGGTTCTGCTTTCTATCCCCTAAGCTGAGTAATTCATTCATTGCTGTTTCTTTTCAGTCTTAGGAATTAAAATATTACTCCTTCATTGTCTCTCATATCATCTTAGCTTTAACCTTTACCCAGTGCTAGCACAGAACACAAGTATATTAACATGCAGTCCCCTAGTACCTTGCAGGTTGGGCAAAATATTTTTTCACTCTTATAGTCCCCTTTCTGAACTCTTGATGTTTCCATTGAGGTTGATGATGTCAAATGTTGCTTCTTCTGTTCCACTGTCTTGTGAATTTTCTGCATCCATCCATCCAAGTTGCAGTACTTCTCACAATGAACACTTTGCAGAATGTGGTTGAAAGAGAAAGACAAAGGGAGCTTGGGAGTCAAATTTTATCTCTAGTAGTCTGTAGTGTCTCAGCTTCTTCTGATCTTTGCTTGCTTACTTGGCTCTCCAGTTCTGTCCTTCCTGTGTTGTTGAATGCTCCATGTCGCCATTAAAGCTGGGAATCTTAACTTCAAAGCAGGGTGGATATTGGAGCATTATCTGAGCTGAACCTAGAAGTTGGGAGATGCCTTTCCCCTTCCCAAGCACTACTATGACGAATCCAGCACTAGCGATTAATAAACACAAAGGTTGGGTCTGTTGAGCGTATTCCTGTCTTCCCTGAGTAGCGGAAGGCTGTGTGATGAGAAAGATTTAATGAGGAATGCTAGGAATGGTGCTTGGGCCAGTGAAATGCATGCAGAACTTGTGTTCTGTAAGCACCAAGCCTTTCTTCCCCTTAGAACTTGCTGTGGCAAAATAATCCCTGAGAAGCAACATCCGATCTTGCCATGACTTTTGCTGATAAAGCATGAACAGCCTGGCAAGCTTCTCTACATTAATGAAAGCTCCCCAAGGCTCAGCACATTCCTTGGACTTGCACAGATGTGGTTTCTCAAATGAGTTACAGAAGAGTTCTAGAATCTTTGCTTACACTCGGAATTTCAAAAGAAGGTTTTGTGACGAAGTACAGCAGTTTCCCCCAACCTGTTGCTCTCTAGACGTGCTAGACTACAACTCTGGCTGGGGGCTGCTGGGAGTTGCAGTCTAAAACAAGGCACCAGGTTGGGGAAGATTGAAGTTGGACTAAATAGCAGATAAATATTTGTACTTTCCCTTCCTTCCAAATGCTACCACTAGCCCAGATGGAACAATTGCAGTGTCCAGCATGGGCTTGTCAACATAATCATGTCTATGTTAAATTGCTGGATTTCAGGGTGTGTGAGAGGGGAGTGTGGCAAAGGAAAGGATCTTGACTGGCACTGGGCACTACAGTAATGCCATTTAAACACAAATTAGGGGCATTAACACGTTTAAAATGATTTGGCTCAACGTGTGAGAATGTCTGGTGCGATGGGTTGTGAAAGGAGGTGCGCATGCTGCCACAGAGTGCCATGGTGGCAATTCAGGAGCAAAGTGATCCTTTGGAAATAGCTGGATTTGGCCAAACTGAACCTGGACTTGCTGGTTGCTAGTGTGTGGTCCATAGGTGTCCTTAGAAGCATCCTTAAGTGCCGAGAGTATGGCTTGGATATTCTACTCCAGGTGGCAGAGCTGTAGTCCTCCATTTGTTGGGATTCTAGCTTCTGTCACCCCTGCCGTTGGTCCTGCCGACTGATTGACTTTGAGGCCCAACGACATCTGGAGGGCCCCAAGTTGCTCCTGTATCTGTAGTCACCTGTCCCCTTTTTGGCCATAAGTCAAAGAGCCATTTTAGGCTTTCTTCCAGGCTTTATGCAGTGACACTTTCTTTTTACACCCAGGTCTATATACCTTATTTCAAACAGCTTTTGAAATGTTTCTGCTTTCATGGGAAAGGGTGTTGCTTGGTGTTTGGAAAAACCTTAATTAATCCAGTGGACATGTGGTATTGATCAGCTGCCACATGTTATACTCGGCATAAACAAACCGAAGCGCACAACGGTGATGGCTTGAGGCAGTTAATAACATGGCACATGAGCATTTATTGTGTTGATGCACATGAGCGTCTCCCAGGCCTCTAACGGAGTTTGGGGATGTGGATGGGAGTGGTGCCTTCAGCAGCTTATACAGGTGCTGGCCAACCCAGGCACACGGTTTTACACTGTGCTCCAGCACAGATATCGGGATACAGAACAAAGAATGATGCTTCTCCCCCAAACCTGCACAGCTCCTGATAAGTTGACGCTGCTAGTCACTGGTGCAACTGCAGTTATAAAACTATAGAGTTAAGATTCTATTGTTGGCTTTCAAAGTTGAAGTGTTTCGTCCCACTGGAATAATTACAGACATCTACCAGTTTGGGCACATACTAATGGGAGAACACAGGATAGAAGAAGCAGAAAAAGTAACTTGCTGTTGTTTTTTCGTATGCACATTTGGGGCACTTTCTTAGGGAGCCTGGGAGGGTGACAATCCAGTAACTCAATTGCAGCATCAAGTACTAGCTTGAAGTGCAATCCTCTTTGGAAAGTGGTTGGATTCTTTACATTCCAGGAGGAGCCTTTTCAACATACCAACTTGAGCAAGGTGGCTTTTGGCCTCCTAAGAGTTCCTGTTTCTACAAAGAATGCAAACTGGCTCAGGAGGATGCAATGTGGACTGGCGTGTTCTTGCAGATAAATTGAACTGATGGATTCCAGTAATGTAGGCTCTGTACCAGATCTAGGATATGTTTCAAAGTTCAATCACTGTGTTTTCTTCTGTTTGCATCTTCAAAAACACAGGATGCTCCTCGGCATTGAAAAGACTTTGGGGGCAATGGGTTAACTTGACAAAACTTGGGCAAGTAACATGCCCCAAATCCTGTATATGCAATAGGAAAAGGTCCACCCTACAAACTGCTTGCTTGTAGTAAAACGTTAAAAAATGAAGCTAGCGATGACAGTAAAGAAGGTTGTATGTGTTTGATCCATCCCTTGGGAATTATCGAAGGTTTACTGGGTATAGTAAGTCAGGCCAGTCTTCCTGCTTTGATTTGGCCAAAAGAGTAAGAGCATTGGCTTGTATGTTAATGTTTTGTAATGAGCTTAACAATATTGAATTGAAGCTGCAAAGGATGGAGCCCAGATGCAATGCAGGGGTCCCATGTATGGACCACAGCTTTCAAGAGTCCCTTCCAGGCTTTGGAGGTGTCTGTGCTTCTGAGTTTGGTGGTAAGTGATCAACTGGTTCAGAAGTTCCTGGTATTGATTAGAGTCCTTGGGAATAAAAGTTTGGATTGATACAGAATCAAAGACACTCTGAAAAAAGTTGCCTTGTTATTTATGGACTGCAAGTATGTATCTGGATTTGTACCTTGAAACCCAGAGGCAAAGTTGGCCAGTCATCTTGCATCACTTGCTTTGGGCCACCTGGCTAACTGCAGGAGGAAGAGACCTGGAAGAGCGTGTGCTGTGGTGACTCAGGGCATGCGGTTTAGCCCTCCAAGAAAAGTTAAATCTGATACGGAAATGGGAGAAGCCTTTGAAGTGGTGGTGGTGGTGGTGAACTGCAGTCGTCTTATCACCTAAACACTTCGGTGCCACAACATTTAGGGCATGAGTCAATGCCCCCCACCTTAGTGACACACGTAAGCTTCCAAACATGGGTGGTTGCATGCATCCAACAGCTGGAGCAAAGTGCAATTCCTGCCGCTGAGCCTTGCCCTGTGCCTCTTATCTAGATGGCCATTTTCAGATATCGACACAAAGTGCTGGGGAGGCAAGTTGGTTGGGGCAACAGTGGGAATCGGTGTAGGCAAACGGCCCCAGCCTACTCCCCTCCTCATCCCCAGTATGCCTCTTTCACCTCTCTCCCCCGGGCATTTCCACAGTTGGAGAGGGAGCTGATGTGATTCTTCCCAGGATAGCTACAAGGAGTGGTGGGTCAGGAGCTCAGTCGTTGAAGTGCAGTACCAAGGCCGTAGCACCACAGTACCAGGGCTAAAAAAGTTACGGCTCCCTGTGAAGATTTCGGGAGCCCATTGGATTGTGCCTGTCCAATGACAAGATCATTAGTGGTACTGGGTGGGTGTGGCTGATAGTGTCTCTTCCCTCGTCTGAAAATCATTCCTGAGCAGCAATTCCTAATGATGGCGTCTCTCAAAAATTGGTGTACCAAAAGGGGGTCAAGTAAAGGGAGGAGCACAGAACATCTGGAAAGAAACCATTGCTATAAACAGAGGATAGTGCCTGGAGTAAAGCAAAAAGAACTTTGGTCAAGCACAAGGGACTGTGAAGAACAAGCTGTACTAGAAAGAATGCCAAGGATAAATAGAAGGGGAAGACAGAATGGTTTTTGTTCTTTAAACTCTTACAATTATCAGGTTTAAATAGATGAAATCCTGTGTAGCTGTCCTGTAAAGGAGTCCTTGTGGCGATCTCAACTGTTCAGCGTCGCGTAGTGGTTAAGAGCATGGGACTGGGACTCGGGCAATCTGGGTTCGAGTCCCCGCTCGGC